CTTATACTACTGGCCCTGTGCTGTTTGTACTTGATACAGACTAACCTTCCAAACATTATTATTATGTCAATAGTGAAATAGACCGTGGATCTGGAAGGGCAGTCTCCTCCCTCTGCTTCACTTTCAGTCTCTGTGTATGCCTCGCGTTACCTGGTGACTCTGGGTTTCCAGGGAACCGGTTTGTACAGTGTCGACTCAAGTACCTGAACGCTTCATAGGTAAATATAGAGGACCAGATATGAGCTTGCCAATCATTCGAAGAAAAGTCTGTGTCTCACTGTTGGACTTCTGTGACGATCAAACACACCTGAATGTACGGAAATGAACAGAAATGGTGTGATGGAGAAGAGGGGGATAGCTGTGCCTATTTGGAGACCAGTGTTTGCAGGTAATGAACACAAAAACAAGGAAGGATTGCTGTTTTAGCAATAGTTAATAATAGGTTCAAATATATAGATATGAGGAAGTAAATGTGGAGATTGAGAAACAGACTGCTTGTTAGTAGTTGTTCCAAAATACTGAAAATTATGTGACTTGAAGGAGGAAAATCAAACCATAATTGAATGACTGATTTAACATACTGATTTTGTGATGTGTGATAATTCAAATCTTAAAATCTACTAGAAGTGTTGAACTGGTATTTCTACATTTAGTTCATATCTAGCCGTGAGCGTAGTATTGGCGCCCTTTGTACTTTTGTTATGTCATTCAGAATTACAATAAGATTTGATACAATAGAATGGAGAGGTAGACAAAATTAAGAATCTGCTCACTACCAGATAACAATGATTGTTTTTAAGACACGCAAATGTGGATTTTTCTTTTTACAAACTGCCCTTTTCTTATGGATTGTAAAAATATAGTTTGGTTTTATTTGTTTTGTGAAAAATTTTTTAGATCAAGATACAGTATATCTGTTTCTATATCAGCGTCACTAGAGAGGAATTGTTTTGGTTAGACTTGTAGCCAACAAACTGAAGTTACTTAAGTTGGTGGAGGGTCTGCTACCTGTGTGTCTCCATGGCGATGGCATTGCTTCACCTGGAATGTTCCATGGTATAACATTAAACATATCCAGCTAGCATTTATTGATTAAGGGTGTTTCTGTTGCTCAAAAATACCATAATTCCTTCTGTGATGGGGCGACTCTTCACAGATCTGAGCTGTAATGTCTCGTAGTGTTGTAACTGCTTGTCTCCCCCATGTTAGATACGTTTAATTTATACTGTGGAACATTTTAGACAAACAATGACATTTCCATGGAGACAAGCTTTTGACTAACCCACATGAAAGTTACACATTGAACCTTTACTATCATATCACAGTAGAAATAAAACTAATAAATGTGATTTTTTTTAACAACTAAATCCCCAGAAACAAAAGCTCCATTGTTTACATCTGACATAAGAAATTGTGTGAAAAAGTAGTCATTTTACCTTTGTTTGCTGTCCTGTAAAAGCAGCTTGTAGTTTCATTTTGTCATTAGGCAGGACATCCGTGCGAGTGAGGGACACAGTAACAAGGCTCTTGTCATTGCAGACCTGTGTAAACGCCGTAGGTCAGGAAAGCATAATATTTCAGGGCTGCAGTGTCCGTGTGTTTGGCAGTGACTGTAAACACAAGACAAAGCTTCTGTCAACAGCCTGCAGATTGTGGCATGAGATAGACAGCCTGTTTGGAGCACTTGAATGGCCTGGGCTGTGATAAATGCCTTGGTTGAATTGGTGAAAAAAAACACGTATTTAGAAATGAAACTGTTGCCAGTTTTAGTAATTTGATAGAGGCTCTTGAAAGTAAATATGCAGCAGAGATGAGAGTGCTTTTTGACATGATTGATCTTAACAGTAATGTGGTGGTAGAAAATCAGCTTTTTAACTAATTTGGAAACGTTGAACACAGACTATAAACAGATACAATGGGGAGAAATTGGCAAATTATGTTAACATTCAAGAGAGAACACACAAGAGAAATGTGGCCCTTCTTTCAATGTATTGCTTTGGAACAACATAAAATAATTCATAATGATGCTTTAGTCTTATAGCACTTTGCCAGATGCTCTAAGTCGCAATTTGGTGCATTATTTATTCACTCCTCTTTCCCCCTCACCCTCATGCAGTGGTGGTAGTCACAGCAGCCCTGGGGCAGAAGGATGGAAGCGAGGCTGCTGATCTGCACCATTGGCTCCTCCGACCACACACTTTTATACAAGGCAATGTGGGAGAAGTGTCTTGTCTAAGGCATAGACCGCATATGTGAGTGGAGATAGCTAACGTGCTAGCTGAATGTACGGAAATGGACAGGAATGGTGTGATGGACATGCGTGCCAAATAGGAAGTTTGCCAGAAAGCTCTTCCGGCTCCTTCTGACTTTGGCTCCAATTGATTTACATTAGGATCTCATCGCCCCTCTCTCTGTAACTGCTGCAGTGAGCCTCATCATTTTGGTCTTAAAATGTTCGTATTAACTCGCTTTACATGGTCCTGGATTTTTTTTCGCTGTTTTGTCAGTCAAAAAAATCCTATTCATAACATAGAACCTGGCTCCAGATTCGCTCATGTAACCATTAGCATTGGGAGCCTCATCTGAGTGACGCTGAATGTTATGGGTGACATCACACTTGCTTAGTCCACTTCTTTTATATAGTCTATGGCCTAAGGAGACAGTTTTGCCATTGCCACTTCTGATTTTCCCAGTGGTCTCCTATCCAAGTACTACCCAGGCCTGGCCCTGTTTAACTTCTAAGAAATGACGAGATCAGGGTTTGACTAGAAGGTTTGATTAATAGGGTCAACATTTCATTGTCTTTTTGAGTGAAGAACATGAGGCACATTCATTTTGTTTTATATTTAGCTATTGTTGCTGTCATGGATTTATTGCAGAAATAGAAGAGGGGGAGATCAAAAACAGGAAATTGAACTGAAAGAGGGCGAAGCTTAAGGCGGTTCCAGACCATTATTCCTCCTCAATCATTCCAAATATTTGGTGACAATCAAGGTCCACATCTGACTCAGCGGGATACCTTTAAGAGTGCATAAAGTGAGCCATAAGCAGCTTACACCGCTCAGGCCCTCAGCAGTGGTCTCTTACAGCAAACGAGTCCTATGTGTTTAAGTGTGTGGTAGAACAGGAGGGCTCCAGATGGTGGGAGGAGAAAGCTCTCTTCTAATCCCTGTGCCAGGACGCTGTGGCTGCCTGCATCGTATACACCACAGTCATTTACAGTGTACCTCCCATAGCTCACTGTGAAACTACTCAGATCTGGTTGGGTGTATAGATTGCTTGAGTAAGACTGAGATTGCATGTTCACCAAAAATAACTTTTACTGTCATATGTGTCAGTCACAGCAGAGATTTCCACATTTAGTTTCCTCTTTTATACAACTATTGACACTCACTTATATCATGTTTCTGTGAGCTCACTGGAAAATAACAGCAGTTTTAGAAATGTATTGTGACTTTAAATTGGGTAGCACTGGTTTTAATGCTATCCAACTGGTCTGCTATGGACTTTTTCAGATGATTCGTGATATTTCTGTTATACAAAATCCAGGCCCACAAATGTAAACCTTTTGGAAAGAAGGTTCTAATATGGCTGATACCAATATTAGCACCAATAAATCACCAATCCGTAGATGCCTGAATGACAATGTGGATAAATGGTCTTGTCTAGAGACCCATGATGCTGTGCACTTGAGTAAGAGTCAAACCCTCTGGTTAGTGGGTAGAAGCATAACATAATGAGCCATTGTTGCTCTGTCATTCTCAGAAACTATAAACACAATTATTATCAGTATCTGCAATCAGTGAATTATCATTATTAACGGTGCATTGTGTAACTTTTCTGGTGGAGAATTCGTCACCTGCTTGTTGGATATGTTATTGCTCTGCCTGGAATGTTCCAATGTATGACGTTAAACAGATCTCCGGTTTCACTTCCTGGAAACTGTCTGACCTCGCAGCATTAGAATTCATTCGCTCGACTGTAGACGGGTACTTTTTTCAATTTAACCAATTGCTGCTATTTTGTCGTGATGTATGTAATACGCCGCTAACGGGGCTAACTGGTATATTAAGCTTTTCCCAAATCCCATCAGAAGAAGGGCAATAACGTCTTTCCCCTTGATAAAATTCACCAAACATTCTCTTTGTTTCTCTTGATCCTCGATTTTAGGAATTGTTGCCAACACAGAATGTATGGTTCTTCGCTGACTGGCTGGTGCCCGGACTCGCACTTCTGGGGTTCTTACAAAATGTCTAGTTTATTCCAATTTCTGACCTAGTCTCTGGAGAGAAATGACAGTGAGCGGAGGCACTAGGTGGCACCAGCCTGGCTAAAACAGATCTACCTTACATTTATTCATTAACAAGTGGTTTTGTAGCTGAAAAATACCTAGAAAACCAACATTCTGACTGCCTCTCCACTGCTCTGACCTGTAATTTGGTCTGGTTTGGTTTTCAAGAAAGTAGAAAGGTTTAATAACATACTGTGAATCAGACAATGCAATAATAACATTTCCTTTAGGAGAAAACCATTTGACGGACCTTCCTTTCACCAGAAAAGTTGCACAATGCTTCTTTAATAGCTCAATATCAAATAAAGCTTTCAATCTTTGTCATTGTCTCTTCTCTGATATAACTCTTGTATATTTTTTCCCCAGTTGCACCATCTTTAATCTTTTATGTGCATATTAAACCTGTTTGTTGGGAGTCTGTGAGCTCTCCCTCCAGACGATGCCCAACAAATCAAACGCACTAATTAAGCACCCTCTCTCTCCACGGGGCACTTTATTCCTTTTCATTCTCAGAGCAAACACAGCTCTACTCTACTGTGTCGAATGCTACAAGGAAATGTCTCCGCATGCACATTATTACACAAAGCAGTGGGTCTTTTCTATTTTTATGCTTTAACTTTATTTTCTCAGGAATTTCAGTTAAAAATGTTCATACTTTAATTGTGTGCATGCTGGCTTACAAATGGCATGTGTTGTGTTGTGTTTGCAGATAAAAAGGGCGACCCAGGCTGTTTCCAGAATAAGAGCGCTGAAGAGGCTTGTGTGGCTGTGAAAATCGAACACTCGAGAGGTGAGGCAGCACCTGCTCTACACACTGGTACACAGACCAGCTTATATTTGCCTCTTAGACTCTATATATAGATGGACATAGCTCACCCTCTAACCACCACATTTCAAATAGAAAGTGAGTATGGGTACACTTCAGGCTTGTTGACACTTTCTCCGATTCACTTTGCGTTGAAAACATTTCTCCCCTCTCTCTGTAACTGCCGCTGTAAGGCTTCTCATTTTGGTCTTAAAAAGTTCATATTAACCTGCTCCACATGATAGTGGTGCTTTTATTTTGCAATTTTGTCCGTAAATCAATTCCTACTCCTAATATGGAATCCAAATCCTATCCAAATTCTTCTCTCTTTGCTAACCCTGGTGAGCTTCATTTAACTGGAGTCGAACGCTTTGGATGACACAATATTCGTCATACAGGCTATGATTTACACACAAGTGTCTGGCTCTTATAGAACTGAAGTTATTAAAGTTTTCTAATGTAATTTTGGTTGAGTCACTCTGCTCTATTGCTAAGAATGGGAGACAAGATCTTGTGAGATAAAAAAAAGATTGTGCACACATGAAGAAAATGATCTTGTTAGTTTACTTTTTTCTTTGGTCAGTTAACGTAATCATTAAACATATTGCAAAGGGATTTAACACAGAAATTATGCGTAACATTAAAGTTATTCTACAGACCGAAGGGGTTTAGGCTGAAGTTTTAACACTTATTCTGCCCAGCTCTATTAACATATAGAATAGGATACAAGATAGCAGTGACTTTTTTCTATTTAGTTTACATCTAGATTAGACAAAAAGAGTTAGGGGCTGGTAAATTACATCTCTTAAAAAGCTGAATTTCAAAATTTCACCTTAATCTCCTGTCTTGTCTCATTTTGTGGAAATTGTGTACCAGGAAATGACTTTGATTTCCAGTCCAAAGCCCAAATATTATATGAAATTTGCTTTTATTCAATATTTATATCCACAAAAATATTGGTTATAGCTTTGTATTACTAATAATGTTATGTTAAATTGTCAATAATGATATAAAAGACTATTGTATTCCATTTGCTTTCTACAATGCTGCTCTAAAGAAACACAGCCATGTCCAGGGACTTTACTCTTATTTACTGTGTGAAAATACATCTCAACATCTCATTAGAAATCTTGTTTACAACATTTAGTTTGTTCATTTTTGTAAAGGAAAAAAAAACAGCCAAGGTTGTACGGGACAGTCAAAAGTGTGCACCTTACACTTTGCAGACGCTGAAGAAGCGACTCTATTTTTATCCCACCTTTGTGTGTGTCACGGTGATGAATGACCGGCCCCCTCTGGATCGCACTTTCCACTGCTATTTCTCACTTTTTCTCATTTTCCTCTTCACTTTATGTCTACACTCTCATTTGTTCCTAAAATGAATCCCACAGTATTTGCATCTGCGTCTTCACCCATATTTTAATATTTTTTGTCCTGTTCGTTGTATGATGGCGGTAAGGGTGGGTCATATTGACAAAAATGAATTATGATTTTTTTTTTTTTTTATTTAGTTTGCATTATCTCAAAAGTTATTTAGACAGTGTTTTCTTTGTTGAGGTTCAACTATTGCATAAAATGTGAATGGCCCATAAAATTAACCACAAGAATGAAGAAATATCACAGTATATTCTTTTTTGGAAAATTACACTAAACATTTCGGTTCATTGAATTTTTAATTGTCTTTTTTTGCTGTGGTATTTAATCGCTTTGTTTATAGACAGTATACTTGATATTCTAATGTTCTCCAGTAACAACAATTGCGATATTATTTTTAATTTAATCTCCCTCCCATCCCTACATTGTGGTCACATACAGTATTAGTTAGCAGTACAATGGGTCTTAATCCACGGCTGGGTTGGGATTAGAGGATGAACAGAGGTTAATCTGAAGAAAGTCTGTGGTGTTTAAAGGGCTCATATTACACTTTTTTATGATCTATGTTATGATGTTGTTTCTTCATCACAAACATACCTGGAGTTTTGTTTTGTTTAACACACAAACCCTATATATTTAGGATGAGTTTGCCTGTCATACGGAAAGCACTCTGTTCCACCTTGTGATGTCATGTCAATAGAGGAAGTGCTTCACTGTGTTTTTAAACTCCATACACCTTCAGACCTGGAATTTTCAGTCTCCACTAAACAAAAGGTAACAGCTAACTTGAAAATAGCAGCTTCATAAAGTCACTTCATAAAGTGGAACAGATCATTTTGAGTTTTGGAGATGCAAACAGCTTAATAGGCTCTATCCAAGTTTACATCACAAACCAGGAAGACGTTTGGAAAGATGCGATTACAGCTTCCGGTGTAGTTCCTGACACTAGGCTCGCCGACCAACTGTGATAAAACCCACTGAAGTAAATGTGATCATCGGTAAAATGAAGACTGCATATGTATGTGCTGTTTGGAATCATCTTGAATTTGGCGCCTCATCTCTTCTAATGGCATGTACCCAGTGCGCTCGAAGTTGTGCATCAGTTTGGAAATGATGAAAACTGAGGTTTGGTTGTAATTGTTGATTGTTGATGCCAAACATAACGGAAAGCTACAATGACATTTAGACAAAGAAAACTGCACCTGGGAAGTTGTAATCGCATCTTTCTTCCTGGTTTGTGACCTAAGTGTGAATTGATTACATGAGTGTGAGGATTACTCAAACATGTGTGAATAAACAAAAAACACAAGTCCAGGTATGTTTTTGAGGAGATAACGACATTTTAACACGTCTTAAAGCTCACAAGAGTCAATTTTGCATAATATAGGACCTTTAAGAGAAAGTGCTAATGTTATGCCCACATTATTATTATCACATACAGACGGACACATGTGCTGTTGATGTGAGACTTCAGACAGAATGTTATTGTCTTATGTCTTGGGTGTGCAATGTCTGGGGAACATTTGAGTCGGTGCTTTGTTGTTGGAAATTGGAATGTAAATTACTTATCTGATGTTGAATTTCCCTCTATATTGAATAAAATAATTTGCTTGATGTTCTAAATCTTTATCAACACAATCCTCTTTGATCCCTATATCATATTTTAGTGTTAAAATTACTGTGAGAAGAAACTCTATTACAATTATACACGATAATCAACACCATGATCAAGCAACAGTGAAGTCATTGTTTTTCACTGTCCAGTAGATCAGATTTCCTCTAGTATGTGACCATCTGAAACCCAATAGTCTGATTGATAGAGTAAAGTTAAAGATTCTATAATTACACAAAAACATTCCTGGGGTGGTGTTTGGTCATAATGCTTTGCTCCACTTTGTGATGTCACTACTCATTTAGGGATGCACCAACACCGATACTGATATTGAATATTGGCGTTGATACTGAAAAATTATCTGGATCAGGTATAGATGCATCACGAATTTCGGACTTCCAGTCATTGTGCAATGCATACTGGGATTGTTTCTCTGAAAAAGTGAGCATCAAACCGCCATGTTTGTTTTCACAATGGGATGCATCTACTGACAAAGCCAGTCTTTTCAAGCCTTTTGACCTATATCGCTTTTATTTCTGGTTTTGATATCTTCATATTTTAGTTTTAGGATTCAGACATTGTAATTGTGTTTTTGTTGGATGTCCTAACAGCAGAAAACAGCTTGAGAAATGGACTTCCGAAGATTGCAACTCCATAAATGCAAAAGGGAATCAGATCTGTGTGAGTGCAAACCTCCATTCAAACTGTTTCCCTTCCCAGCAGAATTGAAAAATAGTGAAAGGCGAAGGTGATGGGCAGTACTGATACACAGGAACGACGAAAAAGGAAACCTTTGACTGCCTAAGAAATCATCCCGAGTTTGCAGAGAACATTTTGTATGTGGAGCGCCATCAAAGTGGGATCCCGTTTGTTAAGCGAGAGGTACAGAAGACAAACAGGCTGGGCTTGCACTTTCTTATTCTTGTGGCTTTACAGCAACATTAGGTCTTGGTCGCTTTGCAGTGGAAGGTGTTTCTTGGTGAACAGCTGGTGCCTTTCGTTTTGGCGTAGACTTTTTAAATTCGTAACCAAGGTTGAGCGAGGGTTTTGCTTTGATGGCTCCACATACAAAATGTTCGCTGCACTCAGGATGATTTCTTAGGCAGTCAAAGGTTTCCTTTTTCGTCTTTCCTGTGTATCAATACTGCTCACTACTCACTAGTTTTCTATTCCGTTGGGAAGGGAATCCATTTGAATAGAGGTTTGTGGCCAAACAGATCTGATTCCCTTTTGCAGTTATGGAGTTCGCAAACAAATTCCTTGATGACCGAATCCCAAAAATAAAATATGACAATATCAGAACCAGAAACAAATGCAATATGGTTCAAAAGACTAGAAAAGATCAGCTTTGTCAATAGACACATCCCACTGGGAAAACAAACATGGCTGTGTGCAATGACCGGAAGTCCAAAATTCGTGATGCGTGTATTGGTTCCACGTCGGTTCAGCTGATATTGTGACTGGGCATTTAATTGGATGGAAGAAGAGTATTTCCATCCTAAATTTGAACTAGAATGTCTCATAATATGATATAATATAATAACTTTTATTCATACAAAGCTAATCTGTAGTTATGTGAAGGAGAAAGAACAATTAATTCACAGTATTGGATCTCCTGTGTAATAAGTTGTATTTGTTGTGTTGTGTTTTAAAGAAATTAGTGCCATTTACAGTCCCTACACTGGTATCGGTTCATACTAGGTATCGGCAGTTAGAGATATTAGTTAGTGACCTGAAAAAGCTGGATTGGCGCATCTTTAATCTCCTTGCAACTATAGTGTGACTTCAATTATTAGAGTCATCAGTTAAACAAATAATCTTGGCATTTCTAGTGCAGAGTTTAATTAGAAGACAATTTGTAAGCAGCGATGCCGGTTATCCTAGACAACTATTTCTTTGCATTCAGTTTTCATCATAATTCCAAGATTGACTTCCTGCCTCTGACACCTGTTTGCAAATATAAACAAACCATATTACAGTAATAGAAACTGAGGTAAAC